CACTAAAGAGTTCTAATTTGGTCTTTAACATCAATACTTAATAATCTCTCACCTCTGGGTAAGGCCCAAAGCATGATAACAATACTGGGAGAAGGACTAAGCCATTCAGTGCTCCTAGAACTGTGAGGATGGCCAACACAGCAAAGAAATACCTGAAAAAGACACACGACAGACTATTAATACTTGTAAAAAAAAGAGTAACATTTAAACAGTATGTCAATGACAGACGCAGGATATGAACAGGTTGAATAAAAACAGCATAGACAGACAAGAAGATAAACAAAGGAGGAGAATAAACAAAAACAAAAAATGTGAAGACTTGTGTTAGACTTGGGGCAGAAACGTATTTTTGCATGGACATGCAGCATGGTTATGATGAGCAAAACGAATCATACCTTTTCAGGTCTCTTTACAGAGAGTTAGTCTTAAAGAAGCAGCAGAGAGAGAAAAAAAGAAAAGAAAAGACAAGCATAATTAGCCAGAATTGGTTAATTTGAAGTCTCAGGAGGAAAATGGTGGAAGAAGGGTTATGAGTGGGGGTTCTCTCTCTTGGGTGTGTGCTATATAAGCAAACATGGAGAAAACACTGCAGTAAGGAATGTAAAGGGGGGTAAAGGAGGGTAGAAAAGAGGGGAGGAAGAGAGGCGTGTGATGGGGGTGCAAGGGTGGGGTTGCAGGAGGTGTGTTGCTGTGTGCGTATGTGTATGTAATGGGGGGGCACCAGAGGATAGGGGCCTCTCTCTAGTCCCCTGCTCTAAAAAAGAGAGAGGGAGAAGCGAACAAATGAAGTGAAAGGTACAGAATTTAAAAAATTTAGTCTTGGAAGAAGAGAAGGGAAACCTACAAGGGCCCCCCTTTATCTTTACCCCTTTATTCTATCACTCTCCTTTATTCTCCCTTTTCTCCTTCCTCTCTTTTCTGCCTCACTTTCCCCTCTTTCTGTGAGGCCTGTGAGAGTGGAGAGGGTGGCTATATTCTTTGCATCAGCTTGCATTGTTTCCTTTTTTAGGTGCTGAGTTTTTTTTTTTTTTTTGAATGTGGGTCTCACACCTACTATTTGATTGGCTCATCAGTGACCAAAAGTATTTAAACGCAGCTTCACCATGGAACCAGCGCCAGAGTGTTGCCTTTACAGCCCAGGTTAAGTTACCACGTTTGGTCAACTTCTCCACGAGTTTGTTGCGTATCAATGATCTGTATTTCTTTGTAGATGTTTGTCCAGGAGGTTTAGAGCACCTTGCCACAAAAGGTGAAGGGATTTGACGTACCAGGACTTTTCTCGGGATTTCCTCACTGCCACGTGGCCACTCACTTTGTTTGTTGAAACTTTTGTCACTGTTACTGCAAACTCTGGATTATTCGGAATAAACTCTGTGCACCGAACTGTTGCTCCCAGTGATTCTTGCTTTTAGGTCCAGTCCTCTATTCTAACTGCTCAAACGGAGCATATTCACACTTTCCAGCTAAGCCACTGTAAAAACTTCCAGCCGCTCCGCTAGTCTGTTTGTCTAATTAAACCCCCCCCTTAATGTTGTTCCGTTTTGGAGACATTGGGGACATTTTGCAAACCTTAAGTCCTGTAACTCCAAACGTATCATATTTGATACATGAGTTTTACAGCCCTCCACATGAGCAGTGTGATATTTTTTCCCTGAAAAACCAGATGTATACAATCAGATACATGCAGTGCACAGATAATTCAACAGGGGATAGTTATTCACTCATTAGCAGGCCTTCCAGTGACACTACAAGATTGCCATGACTCAGGATTTGGACACAGGTGGATTTTGAAGAACTTTGCCAAGTTTAAAAAGATAAAGATGAGAAAAACATTAAAAACTTTACTGAAACATCAATAAGAATAATTACTGGGTTGATGCAATATGAAAATACTTAAAATTTCATAAGCTATGTTTTAGTAAAACTGTGTTAAAAATAATGTATGAAATTTGAAACAGCAGGTATATAAGGTCATGTAACTCTAAATCAGTCA